CTCTAATATCTTGGCTGAAAATGAAAACAAAGCAATCATTTTTCAGCTGGGCACAGTCATATGGATGAGTCGTCTCAGAATTTGAAGAAATGACATGAAAATAAAAGAACCGGCATTAGAAGAAGAGTAAACATCAAATAAAGAAACAGCCCACAAATTAACGGGAATATATTTTCGGTCTAAAAGGAGAGGGTGAAAGGAAAACAAAACCAAACCAACAAGCGGGGCTTTATGCTTAGTGAGAACTGGCTGAGCGTCTTAGCCCTCTTGGCTGGAAACACAGAACTACTTCGGGAATTGCTGGCGCCTTCATCTCTCTCTGGAAGGAGAGCTCACACCTCAGACCTTATGGCCCTGCCTGCCACTGGCAAAGCTTGTTTTGCTCTTTGGAATAATTGCACGTGGAATTCTTGACGAGTAAATAAACTCTGCAGGTACTGGGTTTTTGAGTCGCTCAGTTCCTACTTGGACTCTGGGGATCGTTTTGCATGAGGGGAAGGAAAGAATACATCGTCTCTTCTCATCACCGAGGTGTGGAAGCAAGATCGGGACTGATAGACTCGACTATCCCATCTCTTTTGCTCAAATATTTCATCAAACGAATGCTTCCAAGAGAAGGATTTTGCTAGCTGGAGAACACCTTAGTGCAGTCAGTTCTGGGTTCCCCGGGGGCTGTTAGCTGGCTGCTGTGCTCATGGGTGCACCGGCAATGTGATTTTGCCTAGCAACCCCATGGATGCACAGCTCAGTCTTTGAGTGGTGTGGGAGGTGTGTCCGGGGAGGGGAGGGGGGCCCGGATCACCAGGTCTGCACCCCTTGGAGGTCCCCCGGCCTCAGGTTCCTGAGAGAGCAGGCCTCATCTTGGTGGCTTCATAAGATTGATGGAGAACAAGGGCGCCATTAAATGAAAGGCACATAAAAAGACTGTGCAGACTGGGAGCTGAACCCCAGAGAGCCATCCAAAGACTGCACAGAAAATCCCCTGGGGATTGAAGACATTTCCCTCATGGAAAATGAGATAATTATGGGAGATAACACATTCAGGAAGGAACCACCAACAGTGACCTCTTGAAACTAGACAGAGGCTGTCTCAAGCCAGACTGTTGGGAAAAGCAAAGGGCAGTGTTCTCTTGGGGGCACCGCACACGTAGAGGAATATTTGAACTTCTGCATGAAAAATGGATGGTCCACAGGCAAAGATCACTTAGTGTGCACAGTGCTCAAAAGCGTTACCCCTTTGCTTATTTAATCTTCCAAACGGTCCTCTGAGGTGGATTTTCTAGTCTCCGTTTTATAAAGGGAGGAACGGGTGCCCAATGAGGTTGAGGAACTTGCTGTGGTGACTCAGCTGTTTAATGGTGGGTGGGCGGGCGGTGCCTTGGGCTGGCTCCCCCTCCACTGTAAGCTCTGAAGCCCCTTTAATAGCAGCAGCAAACAGCTGCAGGGCCGATGGGATAAGCTGCCCACAGATCACTGAGTGATGGTAAGAAAACCTGTGGTTATGTCTAGAAAGCTACAGTTTAAAATGTTTAATTGAGGTAGCTTGAAAATATCTCGAGGGGGAAGAGGTCTCCCTGGTGAAAGCACAGCACTACACGGCTGTCGCGGCCACCGCAGCATGAGTTCGATCCCCAGCCAGGGAGGCGACCCCCAGGGCGCAGCAGACCTCAGTCCTGCCTGTAGCTCCCCTAGGCAGTGACTTCAGTCCATCTGCCTGTTCTGCTCCCCACTCTATCTCTGGGTGACTCCACCCCCCAGCTTCTCTGGCTTGTCCTGTATGTACATAAATAATTCTTTAAAAATAAATTATTTTTTTTAAAAAAGATAAAAACAAGCTATCTAGAGGGGACTGTGGGTGCTTTGGCGATGGGAGTGCTATGGTGACCTTGCCTGAGGGGAAAAAGCCTGTACTGTCAAAATACTAACATGGCTGTAAATAAAGTGTCTAGGGGGCAGCATAAACATGAGGACCCAGAATAACAGGTATTAGTAGGACTTACACCCCCCTTTGCTCTCTCTCTCTCTTTAAAGATTTATTTATTTATGCGAACAGAACTGGGGTACAGGCCAGAGGTGCAGGGGCAATGAGGGATTCATCAGAGTCAGAATGGGGAGCAGAACAGGCAGATTGACAAAGCAGACTGCTGAGAGGAGCAGTGGGCGAGTCAGGAGAGGTCTGCCGTGCCATGTGGGTCACCTTCAGGGTGGGGATCGAACTCGTGCTGAAGTGGCTTTAGCTTCTTAGTGTTGTGCTTTAACCCGCTGCACTACCAGGAGGGCCCCTCTTCTCTTCTTTTATAGAGAAGTAGTTTGGGTGTATAGGTTTTCTCTCTCTCTCTCTTTCACACACACACACACACACACACACACACACACACGCACACACACACACACACATGAAGCTTGATTTCTTAAGGCCCTAAATTACTTCCCCCCACCTCCCCACAGTCAGTCAGTTCCCTGGGAATTCTCTATCACGGTAGGGTGATTGATTTGGGATGTGAACAGCGGTGAAACATTTGCCTCGCTGATGAACTCTGCAGTAGACACTGTGGTAGAGACCCCGGGTCCCCACCCAGAGCCCCGCCACCAAACCAGGCTTGTGCTGTGCCCTCTTCCCTTTGCCCACGCCTGGGAGCTAGGCTGTCTCCGGCTTCCTACTCCCTGCAAGTCCTTTGCTGCCAGCTCAACCTCATCTGGATGGCAATTGCATCTGCGTCCTAATTTACGACTTCACAAGTGTCTTGCAAACATTTAATTCTCTTCAATTTCATTACGCATTTGAGGAGGACAATTTATAGAGGGGAGGGCGGTGCTCCCATCGCCAGCAATTAGATTAATGATCTATGGTAGTCTCCTTTTGGCTTTGAGTTTTCATACATAGCTACAAACAAAACTAAAGTCATAATAATAAATAAGTTTCTGGGTTCTCAGAGAGGTACCCTCCTTCCCCTCACAACCCTCCTATACTTTTCAATATGGAAATTGTGAAATGGGGAAAACATTCCCTTCGGTTCTCAGGTGGTTCAGCTTGTCTGTCACAATATTTTTATTTGTGGAAAAACTTATTTTTTTATGTGGTTTCAGCAATGTCAATAAATTACATTTTGGGGGCAGGGGACATAGCTAGCTTGAGGGGACCTCTATAAAAGCATGACCAGTTTCTTTCCCCCGTCCTCACTTTATGTCTTGAGCATCCTCCAGGAGTGAGAACACGTGACTATAGCTCATGAAGGAATGTTTCTTTCACTTGTTCCCATGGATATTTGGTAATGTACTGGTCCGGGGATTGGAGTATAAATAGTGCCAGTTAAGATTTGTATGCACATTGATTTATTTAATTGCCAGCTCAGGGGTCAGGGCCTAAGCTGAATGGGCTTGAGACATGATTTTACAGAGTTGCCCACCCTCTCTTTTGTCCCTTGGTCCTTTGGAGTTTTCAGTGAAGAAGCACTCACAAATCAGGTGGAAGGAAACAGAAGCATAATCAACCTTCTATCTCTGAGACCTCATCATTTTCATCACTAGTATTTTCATGGTTGAACCAGGCATTGACCTAAGAAGAATCTTCTTGACGGCTTCTGTCCTGAGAAACCCCATTGAATTGTCCCCTGCTATGACTGAAGCTTAGGACAGACTGCCCAATGATAAGTTTTTAGTCCCCAGCAGGTAGACAAGATGGCCCATTCTCCCTATGGTCGGTCTGGTTTCCTTTCTTTGGGGAGGGCTCTGGCAACTTTGACCAGACTGGTTGAGTGGCTAGGAAAACTGGGTTCTGTCAGTAGCACTGAGAGCACATCACATCAGAACCCTGGTGCCTGCTCCCCTCTAATCAGCAGTACTATTTCATGCAAGCCCCTGCTGGCTTTTGCTTTTGCCTTTGTAAAATGAAGCTTATGAAACGAGAGGTCTTTCTGTGCTCAGAGGTTCTCCACCTTCTAATCCAGTAACTAGAAAATGGACCATCTGTAAGGGTTTCCTCTATCGACTGGTCTTTTTATAGAAAATCAAACTCAGCAAAGGAGGCCCATGCAAGGTGGCACTGAAGATACATTCACCATAGTATGTGCTTTGGGTGGGGTTGTGGGAGCTTTGAGAAGACCTTAAGGATCACTCGGCTTCAAAGCAATGCCAATGCCATCTTGAGGGGATTCCAGGGAGGCACCCAGCCCACCTCTGGACCCCACCGGCATGGATCCTGTGTGGTGAAGTGAGTGTAATGTAATTTAATTGTATGTCTCCCCCTTACTGACTCCTCAGAAGTTGACATGAGGTGATGGTCCTGTTGTTCAAATGATGGTGACAAACAGTGACACTGTCATTCTTACTCAGACTCCTGTCCTGTCTTTTGCTGATAACAGTCAGCAGTCACGGTGACCAGAGCACCAGCTCCAGCAGGTGTTTAGAAGGAAAGTACGACACAACCTCCGCAGGGGAGAAGCAGGGGTTGATGGGAGGAGCACACGCGTACTTGTCCTGAGTGTCTCAAATGAGGGCAGGGGTGGTGCTGTTACTTTTCGCATGAATATTTGGCTTGTTTTAGGCCAACCACTCCCCCCACCTGGCCCTTTCCCTTGGACACAGGGGAATGAGAAGTTGCATCCATCACCACCACTGTGGGCAGCTCTCCAAATAGATGATCTATAGTATCACAAGGAAAAGGGCAGCTAGTCCTTCTGGGGAGTCATCATGTTGGCTCTCGTGAGGTTAGCACTAGCCCTCGGGCGGCAGTCCTCCATTGATGCAAAGCACAGCCCAGGCTGGAGTGAAGCAGGGCTTCTTGACCTGGGACCATCACCAGATTTGCTGGAACCTATGGGCCCCCTAGACCACCTGACAACTTCTGGGGTTGGGGGAAGAGGCCACAGCTTCCATCAGAGCCTCATCAAGGTGCCTAGAAAGGTTGAGAGCCCTGGCAGAATGCATTTCCTTGTGCCTCTGTCTTTTGAATTCAGGGTGATGGAGCTGACTTGCCTCTCTCTCTCCTTTGCTGTTCCTAGAAAAAGCAAGTGAGTCAGACCAAGATCCGGGTCATCTCAACCATCCTGTTCATCTTGGCTGGCTGCATTGTGTTTGTGACCATCCCCGCCGTCATTTTCAAATACATCGAGGGATGGACAGCCTTGGAGTCCATTTACTTTGTGGTGGTCACTCTCACCACCGTGGGCTTTGGTGATTTTGTGGCAGGTAAGCACCCTGGGCATCTCAGGGGCTGGGGCCCTGGAGGGGAAGTGTCCTGGTGGTAGGGCTTTTCCAAGCCACGAGAAGAGGTGTGGTGGGAGGAGCCAGTGAAAAGGATTCTATCATTGCTGCTGCACAGAGCCCTGAGGTCTGTGATGTAAATGACACGCAGCTTCTGTGGGGGGAACCAGCCCACCCCACTCCCTGCATGCTTATTGCCCTTAACACATGAGCGATGCACGAGTGACATGGAGTTCTTGCTGAACCTTTGGACTTCTGAATTGTAGCAAGGCACCTTGAATCAGTTGTCAAAGGCTGCAATGGCAAGTAGCAAATCTCAAACGGGGGAAACTAGCATGGAGTTTACCCCACAAAACTGCAGGTTAAACTCCCAACACCAAGGTGAGAGCCACTGTCCCGCTGAATGTTGCCCTGGGCATTGCCATGTAGGGCTTAGGAGTGGGTTGATGGAGGAGTCAAGAACTGCCCTGAGGGGAATATCCTGTCACACGGTGAATTCTGCACCAGTGTCTACAGAAGCAATAATCTTTGTGGTCAAGGCAATGGAGTAAATTGAGTTCAAGGAAGCCAAAGAAAACCAACATTAATTTCTCCTAGGGACAGGGAGCTTGAAGATGAAATGTGCCACTTTCCCAGAGAGTGGTAGGCAGGGATAGAAGATCATCCCTTGTTTCAAAACATTAAACATGGGTCTGCCATTTTACCCAGTAATTCCACTCCTAGGCATGCATCCAGAGAATTCAAAAACACCAATTTGAAGGGAAACTTGCTCTCCCATCTTTAGTGCAGTGCTATTTACTATAGCTAAACCATGGAAACAACCTAAGTGCCCCATAACATCTGGATCAAGAAGATGTGGTGTGCGGGGGACAAGCTTCAACACGAAGCAGCAGGGCAGGGTCTTTGAAGGTGGGAACAGCTTCTGTGAGTAGAGGTTCTCAAAGGGAGGGGGGAAGGGGAGCGAGGAGACAGGGGAGTCAGTCTAAGGTGGAAGTGTCTCCTGCCATAGTGTCAGCATTACAGTCAAGGGGTGGGATAACATTAGCATATGCATAAGCAAAAAGGTAACAATCATGGCTTTTTCCCCTAAGAACAGTTTGGGGCCATTTTGACCTCCAGCTAAGGTTGTAACATTTATTATTTAAAGTGAAGCACAGTTGTTACACTTTACAGCTGAACAATCGATCTATTAATGTTAAAACAGGTACATAAATTCATAAAATTTAAGACTAGACATTTCTACATTTAGCACAGTGAAAGATTAGCTAAAAGGAAGCCCCTTTAGTCCTAGTTACTATTTAGTGACCCTCAGTCGCATTAAGGCATCCTCTATGTGAAGGAAATGAAGTGAAGCTGAGGGCCAGAGTGCAAAGTTTATTTTACTGGTGAATATCACTAAAAGAGAGATCGCACCGTTCCTCACTAAAGGCTGAACAACAGAGACTTAACAAGGATAGTAGAATGATGGGACTTGGGTTATCAGTTTCAGGCAGGGAAAGAGCTCTGGTTATATTTTAACATGTTCTTAGTACTGCCTTGTTTTACAATATTGGCTTTACCATAACAGCCAATTGCTTTTATTAAACAGCCAGTGGTAAAGTCACTTTTGACTTCATCAGATGCATTCGAATGAAAAAGTTGTTACAATTACCGGAGTGGTCAAAACAAAATAAAGGGGTCCAGCAGGAGTCAGCTCTGTGCCCCCTAACTTTTTAGGAGTGTGCCCTCACAAACTTGGACCTTGTCAGACATGCATTAGCTGGCCCACACCAGTGGTATCTGTATACACGGTGGAATACTACTCAGCCATAAAAAAGACACACTCATGCCATGTGGCAAACTGGAACTTGAGAGGATACTGCTATGTGAAATAAGTGAGAAGGAGAAAGACAAATATTGGATGGTGTCACTTATCTGTGGAATATAAATTAAATGAATAATCAGATGAATCTGAAAAATGAACCCTTTGAGAGCTGATTTCAGAACTGAAACATCAAGGGTGGAGTCTGGGTTGGGGCAGGGGTAAGAACAAATCGGGAGGGAAGCACAATGATCTATTGGTGGTAAAATATGGGTGAGTTGGTGGTGGCTGCACTATAGTGGTGATACATGAAAGGGGTACCCCAATATTATCTGAGTTAAGAAAATAATAAAAAGGAGACCATACATCTCTTCTAATGGGATGGTTCTGTGGGGTCAGACATCTGATCCTTTTCTATTTCTGAGAGATGAAGACTTCACACAACTATTGTAAGATGGAATGTCTGGGTGGCGTGTGTGTGTGTGTGTGTGTGTGTGTGGAGGGGTGCGTTTCCCTGACCAGTCCCTGGTTAAGCAGCATCCTGGACATTGACAGGCCAAGCTCCAGGCTGGCCTTCCTTTGGCACATAAGCCTGGCAGTGCCGAGGCTTCTCCCTGGGGCACTGTGTGCCCAGGAAGCAGAGAGCTCATCTCTAGGACTCTGGAGACAGGAAACCCTGGAGGGAATGCCTCAGGCTGGTCAACAGGAGCCTGGCACCTCCTCAGCTAAGTCTCCGTAACTGACAGCCAGCTTTTGCCATACAGCTAAAGACTGAAGTCCGCTTTGTAGTGACCAGGCATTTTAAACTTTTTCTTCCTTTTTACTAAGAATCGCCAAGTCTAAGTGATTTCTAAAATTCTTTCCAAAAAGCCTATCAAAAAAAAAAAATCCACGAAAGTGGTTTACAGAAAGACCCAGTGGTCCTCCCCTAGGCTCGTCTGGGCCCTGGTGTGGTGGCTCAGCCCTGTGTCAAGTTGCCCGGTGCCCTGGGACCTGGGGCTCCAGGAGCAGGCGCACCAAGCGGCCGGGAAAGAGGAGTGAGGGCCAGCTCGGTGCCTCGGCATCCCAGGTAAGAGCTGGTCCAGGGGAAAGCCCGCTGGTGCTTCCAGCCCAAGGTGAACATGGGCGGCCGGGGGAGTTCAGAACTATTTCGAGACCTCCCTCCTCCGCCTGCAGCCTCTTGTGCACAAGGCCGTGGCTCAGCGCTCAGGGTGCTCGGCCAAGGTTGGCAAGGGGCACTGGTAACACACCCCGCTGGGGTGGCCCGGTCATCCGTACAGCTGAAGCACGAGAAAACAGAGCCGCGGGAATGTGAAACTACAAAACGACCGACTCTGATTTGCAGTTTGTTCTGATTAGCCTGCCCTGGGCGGGAGCACTCACTGCCCCATCGTACCTGACCTTCTCTTACCTGGTGACCTCAGCTGCCACCATGTGGCTCTTTTCATCCCCTTCCTGAGGGCTGACCACCGAGTGCCAGGTCCTTTGTCCCGAGGCCTGCACAGACAGGGGTCTCTGCCTCAGTGTGCGGAGCTTACACGGACCGACTGGGAGACGCACGTCTGGAATTTGGTCACAACGGCCGGGCACCTCTTCAAGAGCGATGGGGGAGGATGCCTGTCAGTTAAGACGACACATCACCCAGAGTCGACGTTCGCTGTGCTCTGACGTGGCATGGACGCTACACGTGTGGCAGGACCAGCGGCCAGCATGCAGGGCCAAGAGCTGGTTGGTTGGGAGCTGGCTCACTTTGGACAGCTGAACAGCGGTTCGAAGTGTGGCCCTATCGGGCGCTATGTGTACATACACATGCACGCACACCCATGGGTGTGCATTGTGTTGTTCGTTAGTGCACCCCAGTGACAGTCTCTGTGGGCTGAGGGTGACTTGCTAAGGTAAATATTTACTTGCAGATACCTGGCCCAGGGAAGAATGTTTACTTGCAGATCTCTGGCCTAAGGCAGGCTTGAAATGAACCAAAATGAACCTCAAAAACCACCGCTCAGTGCGAGTAAAGAAAAGCGACAAAGCAGACCACTCGAGGCAGCAGGAACACCAAGAGTCCTCAGAGGAAGCGGCACAGGAGAGCTGCCTCACGGGAAGAAACAGGCAGCTGAACCACATGGGAGGGGCCCCCCCACAGGCTGCAGCCAGGCTTGGAATGCTAACTCTGGGAGATGACTCCAGGACTGTACACCTGGAGCGCTGCCCTGCAGAGCGGGCTCAGTGGGATGGAGAGGAGCTGCAGGCCACGGTGCCTGCCCGCTGCCTTTGGGAGGCCTTGCTGATGTCCTCAGGCCGACTGTGGATTCCAGGTTACCACCAGCCCCAGGAGAACGCCCGTAACTGCTCATCATGGAATCCCAGCGCTGGGCACACGCTGCTAGTGGGGTTCCCGTCCAGGAGGCCTCAGGCCTTCTGCACTGGGCCACAGCGTCTCGCCAGTCATGACAAGGCTGGACTCGACAGTTTCATGGAGCTTCCTCACCTCGTTAGGAGAGTGGGCTGGGCCTGGCGCCTGTTTTGCACGGTTACCTTTGGCAGTCCCCGAAGGAGAGCTGGAATAAATAAGCTAATTATTTGGAATAAAGTGACTGGCCCTTTCAATGGAGCAGTTAGTCAATGCAATCAGGCAACCAGCCAATCTGGCTTGATGGAGTTTTTCTGTAATCCCTCTTTAGAAAATAAAGGTATTGGCTTAGTTCGCCCAGAAGGTCTGAAAGGGTTCAGTTCTAGCTTGGCGATTCTAATTCTCAGCCTAATCAACGCTTTGCATTAGCCTCGTGTAAACACTCGCCCTCAGCGCTGGATCGCTCGTGCCTGGATGCAAGTCTTAGGCATACCTCAAAGTCTCATCTGACTTCTACACATCTACTTGGTCAACTTCCACACTTCTCTTGGTCAACATGTGTGGTTAAGAAGGAAATGTTTCAGAAAATCCCATACTATCTGGGGTGGGGGGGTTTATTTGATACTATTGTATTTTGATTAAAATGCAAGGAAGCTTAAGAAACACTTGACAGTGGGGCCTGATCTGTGACGCCTGACTCAAGCCATTTGCTGTTAAGCGTGGGTGGGTGGAGGCGAGCTGGCTTCAGCTGGCCATGGACACTTTTTTGCAAGGGGTAATATGGTCAGTGGTCAAGATTCCCAGGGAGTGAAAGGCATTGGTCAAACTCCTTTAGGAAGGGACGCGCTTCCCCAGCGTGACCATCCTTCAGATCTAGCAGCTGAACGTCAGCTGGCCATGGAGTGGCCGCTTTGCTACATGGACGGGAGTGTTTGCTCTGCACAGACCACATGCTAGATAATGGCTAAAGTAACCTCTGGTTATTTTCAGGGGGAAACGCTGGCATCAATTACCGGGAGTGGTATAAGCCCCTAGTGTGGTTTTGGATCCTGGTTGGTCTTGCCTACTTTGCAGCTGTCCTCAGTATGATCGGAGACTGGCTACGGGTTCTGTCCAAAAAGACAAAGGAAGAGGTAGGATCCCTTCCAAACCCCCCTGACTGTTCCTGAGATCAGACTAGCTCGTGCCAAGAATGCCTTGCGTCTGTTCTGGAGGCGGGAGCGGCTCTGACCGGCTGGAGGGCTCGTGAGGGTTCCTCCTTTTGAATCATTAACAGCCAAGTCAAGGGAGTAGTGGTTGTTTCCAGATCTTGTTTTGGCAGGTGAGAAGATCTGGTGACTCACTTGCCAACCCAGACCTTGGAAAGGCTAGTAAACAACTTACTGTAAAAAAAATGCAAAGAAGATGAAACTAGAAGTAGCAGAGACGGTCGGCAGTCAGGGCGGCACGCAAATGCCCTCTTCCCCGGAGATCTAGGGGGAGGATTAGGAAATGTAAGTGCGCCCAGGAAAGCCAGCCCGTCCGTCAGGCCCGGGGGTCTGTAGGAAAAAGCTGTTGAACCCTGTGAATCTCGCTAGATTCTGTGTGCTCAAAGTCACCAATGGCCACGGCGCCATGAACCATGGGGTTCCTTTAACCTCTGCCCCCACCCAGCCAACTGTCAGGTCTACAGGAACAAAGGTAGCCCCATGGACATGAGCACCTGGCCTGCCCCCCTCATGTACATGCACCTGAAAACCTACACAAAGACAAGAGAAGGAAAGACCAGTTAAGGATAAAAATAAATGAATAAAGTCCATGCAGTTCTTCTAGGAGGAGAGGGAGAGGGAGGGAGAATGGAGGAGCGCAAGGGAGGAAGAGATGAGGGAAAGAAGGGAGGAAGAGATGAGGGAAAGACGACAAGCAAAGCAGGAAGAGGAGGCAGAGCTTCACCGCTCCCCAGCAGAGGTCACGCCAGATGGAGGGGCCTGGGAGAAAGCTGCTGACTGGAGACGTCTCATGTCATGGCCGGGCCAGGCTAGTTTCCCTGGCTTCCATACATGCCATCAACCCAATTTCCATTCTGACTCCTCAGCTAGCTAAGCTCCCTGTTGAAATCAGCCACCAGAGAGAGAGCAATGACACAGGAGTTGTTGAGTCCCCTGAACGCAAAAGCGTGAGTGTCTCGTCTGCACAGGGAAGCCGGGACTTGGACCCTTTGCCGTGCTGGCTGAGAGCCAGGAGTCGGGCTGTCGGCCCTGACACCAAGTTGACGCTAAGGCATTGCGTCCTGTGGGCTTCGGCAGAACAAACCTCCTCCTGTGCCGACCAGGGAAATGTGGTTCCTGGCTGCGCTGAGGGCCTTCTTAAACCAGGGCCAGCCCCACCACGCGTCTGTAGCGAGGTCCAGATACAGGTGACGCGTCTCAGTCTACCCAGGACGATAGGGAACTGGGGTCCCTTTTAAAACCAGGAGAGTCCTAGGTTAGCTGGGACAGGTTGTTCACCTAGGGTGAGGGCCAGGGCAGGACAAAGGACCCATATCAGCACCTGCTAGTGCCGGGTACTGAGCCAGGAACCGGTCTCTTATCTCACATAAGGTGAAGAACTCTGTGACCTGGACATCATTACCCCAGGCATGTCGGGAGCTAAGATTAAAAAGAGGCCATACGTAAAAAAATAACAACAGCAAAAAAAAAAAAAAAAAAAAAAA